ATTGGCTTTAAGCAGTACAGTGATCAGGATTTTTCTGCTTCCTTAAAACTATGCAAAAGTTGATATACCTCTGTCTCTTTCCTTTCCTATTCCTCTTTCTTTTTTTAAAGTAATAGTGTTTTTGATTTTTCTCTTTTTCTTTTTTTATCTTTACTGTTGAAAGTATTACAGATGTCCCACTCCCCCCCCATTAACCCCTTCTACCCTGCCCTTGTCCCCACCACCACCCCTATCTTGCACCCTCCTCTTTCCCCAGGCCTTCACCACTCTATTATCTGTGTCCTTGGATTATACATATATGCATATGAAATATCTAGTTAATCTTCCCCCTCCCCCCACCTTGCCTTACCTCTGAGAGAGATCTTTAAACAGGTTGTATTGTAATTTTACTTTATATACACTCATGATTGCTAGTATTTATGGGACACTTACTATGTGCAAGATACTGCTATAAAATGTTTTCCACACATTAAATTTATTAAGGCCTCACAACACTAGGTATTATTTTTATCCTTTTTGTATATGTAATAAAACCAAGACTAATAAAAGTCAATGACTTAGCAATGAAATCCATCTAGGTAGTAAGAGGGGGGAAAAAATAGAACTCTGTTTCTCTTTTCCTAAAACAGATATGGGAATTTAGGAGTGGAAAGGTTTTTAAATTAATCTGCCCTGTCGTTTTTCAGATGAAATAGCTGAGTCATGCAGAAGATAAATGCCTTCACTATTCCTTATATCACCTTTATAATATGCCCTGATTACAATAATGCAAGTATTACCCACTGAGTGGTGGATGTTATTTCCAAAGCTCACAGAGATTCTGTCCCAGGGCAATACCTCTGACCCCAGCTGCCATGGGCACTGGTCACCAAGTGCCCACATGAGCTCCCCTTCTCAGGAGAAATGCTTGTGGTCATAGGGAGACACCTTGCTCAGGAAGTCTCGTCATCCCACCACTGCTAATGGCTGATGGGCTCATATCTTAGAAAAGGCTATCTGGCCCTCTACCCCTGTTGATCAGGTAAAGGCTAGACTTTATTTGAGACCATGCTTTTCCTTAGCTCTGTGCCCTTCCCAGGCCTACTCCACTCCCTTCTGAAGGGCACTTCTTCAATAGACCATAAGCAACCTAATTGGTGCCTCCTCTCTATTTTTAAGGAACCTGACCTAAGAGATATATATGTTTATATGTATGTATAGATGTAAATTGCTCATACACTGAAGAAAATAACACATAATTTACTATTGTGCTCACATAATTAGGAGTATGAATGATAAGAATGAATTGAGGCCGAAACCGGTTTGGCTCAGTGGATAGAGCGTCGGCCTGCGGACTGAAAGGTCCCAGGTTCAATTCCGGTCAAGGGCATGTACCTGGGAATATATATTTAAAAAAGAATGAATTGAGGAAGATGTGGTATATTTGTACAATGAAAAGTATTCAATCATGAGAAAAAAAGGACAGCCTTCCATTTGCCACAACACAGATGTTGAGCACATTATGCAAAGTGAGATAAGTCAGAAAAACAAGGGCAGCATATATGATATCACTTACATGTGGATCTAAAGGATCCAAATTCTTAAACATGGACAGTAAAATGATTTCCAGGGAATAGGGAAGTGGGACAGGACAAATATTCTTTAAGGGTGTACACATTTATAATGAGTAGGAAATAATAAGCCCTAGTGATCTAATGGTCAGTAGAGTGCATAGAGACAATATCAAACTTGGTAAGAAACTGTAACTTAGTTATTTCAACCACTAAAAACAAAGGATAATTATGTAACATAGGCTGTCACTATAATGGCAATCATATTGCAGTATATAAACGTATCAACTTAATATATTGCATACCTTTGCCCAGTTATACGTTAAATATATTTAATTAATAAAAGGAAGTAATTGTGGAATTAATCACAAGGACTGAGGAAACAATACAACTGAGAGAACAATACAAATTGGTACATAAATGATCCTTTCTATGAAAATTAATGTCACTAAATTAAATTAATACATTAAAGACAATGATTAATACAATTCAACAAGACACCTCACTTATAAATAACTTTATTGATGAGGGCATGGCAAAATTAATGTTAATTCTGAAATGAGTTTAGGTCTAGCCTCCTCAATTCTTAGCAAGGATACAGAAGACCAGAGATGATCAATCCTTTTACTAAGGTCACCCTGATGGTCTCTAATAGAACTGGGCCTTGAATACTGACTGCTTAAATTATACTGATTCTTTCCCATGATGTCTAATAACAGAAAAGATCTTATAAAAACGTCTGTTTTAGCAACTGTGTCAAACAAAAGGCATTTATGGAAACATTTTAGATGCTCAAAAAATACAAGGTTTTGCTGAAAATGACAATAAAAACATTAGTACCACTCATTGAGCATCAGATGCCAGGCATTGTTTTAATAATTTTAAATATAATATGCTTTCAATCATCAAAACAAACCTATGATATGAAAATCAACATTTTATAGAAGAGAAAACCGGAACTTGGAGATTTCCCAGACCTGACAGTTTCCAAAGACTGTGCTCTTAACTAGTAGGTGTAGTTGTTACCTGGGAAGGAAAAGTCATAGAAATCTGGGCCTCATGGGTCAGCTATAAGGCAGGCATGCTATTTACCTTTGCAGTAACTAGTTACTTTGGGGTGGTCCGCACAGAAGTGCCCAAAAGGCAGCAGTCAGTTAGGGAAGGAGAGAACCTGTGTTTTATTTAGCCAATCTGGTCAGAGTGTACTGGTCAAAACCCAAGAATAGAGAATTAATTTTAAGAAGAAAAACAACATTCCCTAAACCATTGGTTCTCAACCTGTGGGTCACAACCCCTTTGGGAGACGAACGACCCTTTCACAGGGTTGCCTAAGACCATCGGAAAACACATATATAATTACATATTGTTTTTGTGATGAATCACTATGCTTTAATTATGTTCAATTTATAACAATGAAAATACATCCTGCATATCAGATATTTACATTACGATTCATTACAGTAGCAACATTACAGTTATGAAGTAGCAACGAAAATAATTTTATGGTTGGGGGTCACCACAACATGAGGAACTGTATTAAAGGGTCGCTGCATTAGGAAGGTTGAGAACCACTGGCCTAAACAGAATGTATTGATTAATAGCAATGGTCACTGAGATCAATACACAATTATGAATTCAATTAGAACAGTTGGAATTAACTATATACACAGGAGCAAATGATTGGCCCTTTTAACATAAACTCTGGTTATGCAAATACAAATAAGCTGGCATATACTCATTGATAAAATTGGGAGGGCTGGGTCATGAAGGACCAACAATGACCATGCTTGATGTACATACAGAAAAGAACATACTAATCCTGGGAGATGAAGGAACAAAGGTGTTTTCAAACAATTTTGAAAGTTTAAGGTCAATCTGTCAGCCCAGTATGTGTGTGGTATTTTATAATCCTAAAGGGCCACGTTTTTTAGTATTTGTTTAACTTAATAATAAGAGTGCTAATATTTGACAAGCAAAATACCTAAATAGCATGGTGAATGTAGTGATCACTTCATCATAACTATGGATATAAAATTAGAGAATATCTAATAAGTGCTAATAATAAGTTTATATATATAATTTCTCATTTTTGTACACTTTTTCATCCACTTTTCCCATAGAACTACTTAGTCATGCATACCATCTCTGTTAACAATATTCCACACTTTTAAGTAGAGGGTAGGATTGGGCTCAGGGTGCTTCTGGGTCTGGTCTTGCCCACAGAACACATCCTCCCACAGAAAAATCGTTGCATAGACAGTGACTCCAAGGTGACTTGATTCTAGTGGTGATTCAGCTTATTGAGAGCTCCCACATCACATGAAATGGGGTAATATATATTTTAGAGATTAGCTGGAGACTTTTAAGCTGAATGGTTGAAGCTTTATTTTTATTGTATGGCAAAATCTATCTGGAGTTCTAAACTCTCTTATAGATAACATGTAAAGCAATATTCAATTATTTAACTTATAATTAGCTATAATTAAATTATGTGCTATCATATCACAGGCACTGGTCTACGCTAGTGCCTTTTGCCGTGTAACTCAATCAAGCTAGTATAAACTTTAAATGAACAGAGATGATTGAATTTCACACCACATTGTGCAAACTGTATGCTAACATGAGCACCCAGTGACATAGCGACAGTGCTATGTATGCACTACTTGTGATTTATTTATACTCCTTCATTTATAAAAAAGCAGTATTTAAAATCATTACACTTTAGAGGTAGAGAGAACCTGAAATTATTAGTCCACCCTCTTTCATTTGTGAGATATGGAAACAAAACTGCAATAATTAAAGCCTTTTATGGATGAACAGAATCAAATGCTGATAACTTACTATGTAATTTAGATCAAGTGTATCTTGGACTCCATACAACCAGAAAAAAACAATTTTAATATCAAGAGAATTTAAAACTTAGAAATACCAACAGTTATAGAGTCCTTTGCCATTTGAAAAGCACTGTGATCTCATATAAACATGAAATATTAATTATTCTCCAAAACAGTAAGGTCCAACAGAATACTAATGAATATCGTAGATCATTGTAAGAAAATATTGTATTCTCCATAGTTGATGAAAATAATAAGCTTAGCTTTACTCATACAGGAGTAAACTTGAAAACTCTAATGTTGTAATGAGAATAATTTGGTTCAGAATTGTCAAAATATTAATTGGCAAAAATGAGGATAAATTATAATAGTATATGAGCTCCAAAGACTAAGTGTCCAACAGTTAAATTTGAAATAGCCATTTACTTAAAAACGCCATGAGGAGAATCCTAAAACTTCAGTTAGACAACCAACAATGAAATTTGAGACTATTGGTATGACAAATCCTGTTTCAGACTTTGTTGGTTTAGATTTACTTGCACAAACAGTGTTTGCCAATAGACAGGAAATAGGTGTAATGCATATATACCTCTCTAGCCTTCTCTCCTCCCACTTTCCTTCTTCCTACAGATAAAGCAGACTCTTTACCTTGCTCTGAGCACCAACCGTAAGTGACAACTGCTCTATTTTGAGGTGAACATTATATGATGTCAATATGTTTATGCCTTGGCAGTGGTAAATGATAGCTAGTAAATGAATCTATGATTTTCAGAAACTCTATTGATAACTTTTATAGAGAATAATAACTTTAAGTTATTATACTCTTCTTAATAGCTATAATATAGCAAAAGCACTTTTATCAAATTTAACATCTGTATGAATTTTTTGCTTTTCATTATAAAATAAGCAATATAACTCATTTCCATGTCTATGACTTTTGGAAACAATTATACTAAAACTCCCTTTAATAGAAAAATAAAAAAGTATGGCCATATGTTTGTACATATGTCCATATATTAATAATTTGCTAATATTCACATATATGGGTCTGTGTTAACACAGACATTATTAAACTAAGAATGGGAAGGTGTTGTTCATAGTTTTAAATCCATCAAAACCAAATTATAGTACTTATTTGAGATAAAAAATATTCTATTAAAGATTATCAGTATAAGATACAATTTCCCCCAAAATGCACTCTCAACTTATACAAAATTTTTTAAGACTTTCTGAAAATTCCCAATCAAAAGTCAATCTACTCAGGCAGCTAATTTGCATAAATAATTAAGTAGAATATCTGTTTTGTATGTTTTATATAAGGAAGCAATTTCCACATAGAACTTTATGTTTCTAATAATAAGAAGTGACTCTGGAGGAACAGAAACTAAAAAACCACAGAGCTACCTAAGGACAACATGTAAGAAGTTATTTACCTCGGAGAGGAAAGATTTTACTTTCGAAACCTTTTATTAATGCCTTTCTCCTCCGAGGCTGAATGTGAGGCAGGCAGCTTAGGGAGGACTTATACTATTGCCAGAGAAGATCTGAAGATGC